AGCAGGATGGAGCACCATCCCACTGGGGGTTGGCGGTTCGTGGTTACCTTAACGAACAGTTTCCTGATAGGTGGATTGGGAGAGATGGTCCAATACCGTGGCCACCTCGTTCGCCCGACATTACCCCGCTGGATTTTTTCCTTTAGGGTTATGTTAAGAAACTTGTGTACCGAACACAGGTTCCCAACATCGACAAAATGAAGCAAAGGATTGTGGAAGCCACTGCAACTATTAATGCAGAGATTCTTCAACGAACACGGAGGGAAATCGAGTACCGGCTTGATGTGCTACGTGCAACTAAAGGTGCAAATGTAGAGATGTACTGACTTATGTGCATGAAACTTTGAGAGACGCTGTTTAACAAACAACAAACCCCATCCAGTTATCTTGAATCATTAATTTTTTTATCAAGTCTTGAAGTTGTAAAGGTTTTTTATGGACATTCTGTATTTTATTCTTAGAACCATACTATATTTTATTTACAGCTTGGCGTCTTCCTCACCACTCTGCTGATGTCGCCTCACGCCCACTATAAGCTACTATCATCAATGTCATGGTGAACCTGGCTTTCGTCCTCATAAAGTTTATTTATGCCTCATTCGGGGTAATCGTCGTTGAGGTCTCGCATTTCCTCCAGCTCTTATTCTCAGTCGTCTTGTTGGTTCCCTTCAACTGTCAGAGCAGCAAACATTTTCGAAATTCTTCCTCCAGTAACAGATCTTGTGTTTTTTAGACGTAGTCGCCTGCATTCGGAAGATCCTTGACTACACAGGCTGACAGCGCTGTTCTGTGTACATTCATGTTTGAAACCCCGTACCTGAAGTTTGTGAAAAATTAACAGTTAAAATCAGCAAGCGTATACATGAAGATTTCTGTCTTCTGGGTTGTTGCGATGTGTAGTCTGGTCGATGTTAACCAACGTTTCAGAGGTCATACTGCCTCCGTCATCAGGGCGATGAGTATGAAGACTTCTGTCTTCTGGGTTGTTCCGCTGTGTAGTCTGGTCGATGTTAACCAACGTTTCAGAGGTCATACTGCCTCCGTCATCAGGGCGATGAGTATGAAGACTTCTGTCTTCTGGGTTGTTCCGCTGTGTAGTCTTAACAGAGCTTCATTATAACATATCGAAAAATGTAAAACAGGTCTCGCCATAGTGAGACAGCCTCAATATCATGACCCTAAAGAAAGGAACACAGCTTCAATGCGTCGCCATTAAATACAGGGTGATTCATAAAATTATACATAAATATAAGTATCGTGTTTTACTCCGAAAATCGAGCCACGGAAATTCTCCAAAAAGAGACAACGTCATTTTAGTAGCGAAATAATTTGATTTTAACATTCTAGCGTCTTAAAATTTGAATCGTTGTTGAAAATGTTCTCCGTTAGTTGAAATGCATAACTGAGTAATGTGATGTCAAGAATCCTCGTACGAGAACGTCAAACACTTGAATCTAACGCCAAAGCTCGTCCCATTTGTTGCCCGTATATTTTGCAATAATTATGCCCTAGATGGCCCCACGGGTAGAAGTCTGCAGGTGTGAGATCAGGAGATCGCGGAGGCTACAAGACCGATCAGGATTACAATTAGAAGGAGTCGTATAATGCATAAACCAAATATTCTGCCGCATTGCCAATGGTACATCATCCAGCAGCTGAGGTAATTGTCCCATTAAAGATGTAAACAGAAGGCCACTGACAGCCGAGGCGGCAGCTAGTTCGTCTCACGAGGAGATCGCCAATTATTCCCGTCCAACCATTAATTGTAAGCTGATGCCTCGTCGCTAGGCACTGTTGTCAAATCTCTCTAACAAAGTGGGCCTTTTGGTTTGATCTTAGGAGTAGAATACGGTCTACATACCCATCACATGTAATTAAGGATCTCTCTGTAATATCTACAAACCGAGGTTTAATACGTAAACGCAGAAAAAAAAAGTTGTTAGTGGAACCACGGTTCCGGATAATTTGACGTAAATACGTCTATACGGAAAGGAAGTTTATATATTGGCTTTATTCTAAATATTTCCTTTATACCCGCTTTACAATTGAGTAAAGTTTGATTAAGACATTGTTTATTTAACTTGAATTAGTTACGTTTAAGATGGGTCTGTGGTAGCTGAATGTAATTTGCTGTCCCACAATTGGAGGACATTCAACAACATGTCATCTTCCAGCAGGATGGAGCACCATCCCACTGGGGGTTGGCGGTTCGTGGTTACCTTAACGAACAGTTTCCTGATAGGTGGATTGGGAGAGATGGTCCAATACCGTGGCCACCTCGTTCGCCCGACATTACCCCGCTGGATTTTTTCCTTTAGGGTTATGTTAAGAAACTTGTGTACCGAACACAGGTTCCCAACATCGACAAAATGAAGCAAAGGATTGTGGAAGCCACTGCAACTATTAATGCAGAGATTCTTCAACGAACACGGAGGGAAATCGAGTACCGGCTTGATGTGCTACGTGCAACTAAAGGTGCAAATGTAGAGATGTACTGACTTATGTGCATGAAACTTTGAGAGACGCTGTTTAACAAACAACAAACCCCATCCAGTTATCTTGAATCATTAATTTTTTTATCAAGTCTTGAAGTTGTAAAGGTTTTTTATGGACATTCTGTATTTTATTCTTAGAACCATACTATATTTTATTTACAGCTTGGCGTCTTCCTCACCACTCTGCTGATGTCGCCTCACGCCCACTATAAGCTACTATCATCAATGTCATGGTGAACCTGGCTTTCGTCCTCATAAAGTTTATTTATGCCTCATTCGGGGTAATCGTCGTTGAGGTCTCGCATTTCCTCCAGCTCTTATTCTCAGTCGTCTTGTTGGTTCCCTTCAACTGTCAGAGCAGCAAACATTTTCGAAATTCTTCCTCCAGTAACAGATCTTGTGTTTTTTAGACGTAGTCGCCTGCATTCGGAAGATCCTTGACTACACAGGCTGACAGCGCTGTTCTGTGTACATTCATGTTTGAAACCCCGTACCTGAAGTTTGTGAAAAATTAACAGTTAAAATCAGCAAGCGTATACATGAAGATTTCTGTCTTCTGGGTTGTTGCGATGTGTAGTCTGGTCGATGTTAACCAACGTTTCAGAGGTCATACTGCCTCCGTCATCAGGGCGATGAGTATGAAGACTTCTGTCTTCTGGGTTGTTCCGCTGTGTAGTCTGGTCGATGTTAACCAACGTTTCAGAGGTCATACTGCCTCCGTCATCAGGGCGATGAGTATGAAGACTTCTGTCTTCTGGGTTGTTCCGCTGTGTAGTCTCGATGTTAACCAACGTTTCGGATGTCATACTGCCTCCGTCATCAGGGTTATTCATCTACCATGCTATACAGCGCAACAACCCAGAAGACAGAAATCTTATCTTACAAGATTATACATTATTTAAAGCTCAAAAGCAATTTCGTCACACATGTAGGACAGAGCCACAGAAAATATATAGGCCCTTCATGACAAAGAAAACTTATCAAGACCTTTATATTCATCCTTAAATATTTTTGTTTTAAATTTACGTTGCCTACGTATAACGAATGCCACTGCTATTACGTACAGAAATTTAACCATTTTCTGCCAAAATATGTTTTTGCGGTTCTAAGATGTCAGCGACTGTAGTGTGGAATAATTATGAACGTGTTGTCTTTGGGACTCCTCGTCTGTGTTTACCTAAAATGTCTTCGACTTTTGATGGGGTTGCTCTGGATTTCGGTGGAAGGGAAGTCAAAGCCTGCTACTTAAACGTTCTGGGTTTTCCCCAGTTAGCCACCAACGAATGTTCCCCCAACATCCTGTACCATACTTCATGAAAACCATCCAATTTGTTCGAGAGATGAAACGAGCTGACGGAAAAATTCCCACGAGGTCCTTAGTTTACTCTCACAAACACAGGAGCCGGGCCAACAGGCAACGCATGTCTTTACATCACGATCTGAGGGATAGGCTAAGACTGTGAAATGTTATGTCCTGTCTGGGCTAGCCACGTTCGGTGTATTTCATTAAGCCGTTACCGTCGCTCACACATTCTGTTGGGGCCAGATGTGGCTCTACGCAGAGACATTCTTAAACAGCTGATAATTGTACGGCCAGCTAGTCATAAAATTACCCGCCTTTTGTGGAAAGCGTAGGTTCATTACGGTGTCACAAGGGACCGCCACCGGTCCAAATTCTGATCCAGACCGTATTTTAGTATGTGTTTTAATATTATCCTCCCACCTAAATACAGGTTACTATGAACTGTGTCGGTAGGATCTAATGGCACATATTTCCATATGTGTTCATAAAAAAATTGCCCTCATATAACAATTTAGTTTGAAAAGTAATTTTTCGTTCAATAGAAAATGTTTCTGGAGAAGAACTGTGCAACGTAACAACAACAACAACAACAACAACCTAAAGCAAGTGAACTTTGTTTGAAGATTTCTGTCTTCTGTGGTGTTGCGCCTAGTAGTGAGGGGATGCTTACTGCCTCCATCATCAGGTGTCACAGGACAACGTGGCGTAACACCACAGAAGTCAGCCATTTTCAGATGAACTCCGATCAACTATAAAGAACTCGATATGGATATGAAATGCTGTTAAATGTGAGACTGCAAGTGACCAAATATCGTGATTAGTATGACGGCATTGAAGTGTTGAGACTCCAGAGAGTATTCCTGATCAAGGAAACTTCGTCTATGAGCTTCTTATTAGTACAGTCATTTTTTACGTCTGCTTAGCATTACTCAGCCATCTGCAGCTTGGATTCAATGACTGAACTTCATCAAAACATTGTCCTGCTCGCTCTCACTGCAACACACAACTCCCATCCACTTTTTGAGTGCGGCTTACTTACAGCCGTGATGATGGAAGCAGCAATCGCCTCCGAAACGTCGAAAAATGTCTAAGAGCCTACAAGGCCAAAGACTCCATAGGACTGGTCACCTCGATCAAATCACTTATTTGTGCTTTGCAAGTTATTGTTTGTGGAAAGATACTAAACTAACAAATAAACAAACCATTCATTTCTCCTGTCGTCGAAACACTCCACGTGGCAAATGTTTTTGTCAATGGAACCACCAACGGCAAAGATGGTGTCGTCAATCACTTCAGCCGCAAAATTGCCACGTCGATTAGACATTTCGGAGATCTGGGTCCACGTGTCTGTTTCTGGGTCGTATTTCTCGCCACTGCTCGTAGGGCATAACATACTACAAAATCCTCCTGCATGTACAAATGCTCTGTATTAGGTCACAGAATATAAATTGAGCTGCCGAACGAAACGTGATCCAAGTTCATTCAGCAGGGCCCCTGCCGCTAAATTATTACTCCCTCAACTGATCAAGGATTTTCTGGCGTTCAATGGAACCAGAATGTTCATTACCATGTTCACAACATCCCATCATTCGACCGTTCTGACGTAAGTTATTATTTTCTAAAATCACTTTTAATATTATCCTCATATTTACGTAGTCTCTTCTCTTCAGGTTTTCTGGTTAAAACTTCGCATTTCT